ATTATGTATTTGTTTGAAAGAAAAATACAAAATAAAATTAAGACATCCCCTGAAAATACATGTCTTCTAGGGCAAAAATTAATGTAAGAACTGTTCTTATTTTTAGGGAAACATAATGTTAGGCTCTTCTACAAAAAAGACTGCTACGTCTGTGAACTATCATCATCACCATCATCTGCAGGTTCGGCACTTGAACTTTTCTGCGGAGTGTGCGTCTTTTGATGTCTCTTGAGGCTAAAGCTGTTGGAGAAAGTGGCATCACAGAGAGAACACTTGTAGGGTTTCTCGCCTGTGTGGATTCTCTTATGTTTCTTGAGATTACCGCTCTGTGTAAATTCAACATTACAAACATCACACTTGTACGGCTTCTCTCCCGTGTGGATCATTTTGTGCGTTTTCAAGGCCCCGTTCCTCATAAAGTTTAAGCTGCATACATCACATTTGAAAGGTCGCTCACCTATATGTGTTTTCTCGTGCTGTTTGAGGTTGCTGCTGTGTGTAAAACACATACCGCAAGCAGTACATTTATAAGGTTTTTCTCCTGTATGGGTTCTCTTATGTTCGTTCAAGTTACCATTTCGCATGAACTCCATGCCACAAATGTCGCATTTGTAAGGCTTTTCTCCCGTATGAATTCTCCTGTGTTTGGTAAGGCTACCACTGTGAATAAAACTAAGGCCACACACTTCACATCTGTAAGGCCTCTCACCCGTATGTATACGTATATGTGTAATCAAACTACAACAATGCGCAAAATATAAACCACAGATATCACATTTGTACGGCTTCTCGCCTGTATGTGTTCTTTTATGTGCTTTCAGATTCCCCAGATGTGTGAATTCTAGCGAACAAATATCACATTTGTAAGGCTTCTCCCCTGTATGTAATCTTTTGTGGGCTGTCAAACTACCACTTTCAGAAAATGCACTGTCGCACACATCACATTTGTACGGTTTCTCTCCCGTATGAATTCTCTTGTGTATTTTCAGCCGCCCTTTCTGTGTGCAGCAGACACCACATATATCACACCTGAATGGTTTCTCAGCAGAAGGAACAACATTGTCATCGAACTGGAAGCTGTCGTTTTGTGTTAAGTACAGGAAGTTGAGAGAATCAATGTCCAGAGTGTGTTTATCCGGTGAGTGAGCATCACTGCTGGTAGCCGTGTCCTTATCGTATTCATTATGATGAGAAGATTCTTCAGATAACGACACATCCTCTTCCAGAAAGTTGCTTTCATCCTCATCAACCAAATCCTGACTGTCTGTGATGCTGTCATTTGCTGTCTGATCCTCAACACCACTGCCTGGCTCTGTACCTTCAGAAAATAGCCGCTGGTTATCGTCTGCCTCAGCTCTGACTGCCCTCAGAAGACTCAAACCCTCACCGTTATCTGTGACACCCGGGGATTCATAATCAAGTGGCTCTAGAGAGAAATCACACTGTTCCACAAGTTCCAGATGTTCAGTAATACTCCCACTTTTGATGGCCTCCAGGATCTCTTCCTTGACATCAATAATGGATTTGCTTTGATAACAGCCAGAACAACAGCTGGCATCTGAAAATGTAGAAACAACAAATGTCTTAGGCTTCAATAAAAAAACAAAAAATTAAACAACAAAAAGTTAAGTAAAGGACCCATTTCCACACCTCCAGGCTTACTGGGCATATAGGGCTAGACCTATATTTTATAGACACTGTGTGGGTGATGTGGTCAACATCATGCCAGTTGTCTTTCCCCTCTCAGGTACCCATTTAGGGCTGGATCAACATTGGAGCCAAGATCATTGAGTTTGTGACTATATAATGTGTAGACAGGCCAGGTACAATCATATACATAAATTTATGATATCATATTGTATCACATGGCAATGTCAACCAAAATATTTTTCTGGAAAGGGAAAAGGGGGGGGGGGGGGAGAGAAGAGAAGGCTTTGTATTCAATGATCACTTCCCTTAATTTGTTTCTATAATAAGAGAGCCATTGGCTAAACAAAACTTTCTAGTGACTTGGGGGCTGCTGATTTTGCAGTGGTCACCAGCTTTGTCTGTCTGCTTGGTGGTCATAGCCTGTGACCACCTGGGTTTTTACCAAAAAAAAAAAAAAAAAAAAAAAACCTTACCAAGACCACGCTTCATTCTTGACCTCTTCCTTTGTGTAGAGTTTCAGAAAATTATAAGGTCGTATGTTGGTCTATTAATAATATTTTGAGGCATGACTGACTAGGGATAATATAGCGGTGATTTCCCCTTGGCTTCCGCCGGCAATAATGACTGCAGAAGTTGAGGATGCGATATATTATATGAACAAAGGAAAAACACCCGGGCCAGACAACATCTCACTGGAAGAAATTGAAGCTCTGGGAGATTTTGGAACTGAAATAATAACTAAACTTTTAAATGATATTTATAATAGTGGGTATATTCCAAATGACCTTTTAAAATCCATATTTATAGCTCTGCCAAAGAAAACCAAGCACTTTAAAATAAAATGTGAAGACCATCGCACAATAAGTCTTATGAGTCACATCACTAAGATTTTACTAAGAGTAATTATGAGAAAAATAAAAATAAAAATTAAACCAGAAATCAGCGATGAACAATGGATTTGTAGAAGGAAAAGGTACAAACAATGCCATATACATCCTAAGGACGTTGTCAGAAAGAGCTATAAAAGTAAAGACTGATTTGTACTTATGCTTCATAGACTATACAAAAGCATTTGACTGTGTGAAGCATGAAGAAGTAATCAAACTTAGAAAAATTAAACATTGATGGGAAAGATCTACGAATAATAAAGAATTTGTATTGACAGCAAACAGCAGCTATAAGAATTAACAACTGTTTAGGTACATTTCAGAATTGTGGTTGGTGGGCACAATATAAACAATTTACGTTATGCTGATGACACAGTCTTGATAGCAACAAGTCAGAAAGAACTACAAGAAATGATAGACATTGTGGTGTTAGAAAGTGGAAGAATGGGCCTTAGTTTGAATAATGGGAAGACAGAAGTAATGGTGGTATCAAAGAAACGAATTATTCCTAAATGTGTAATAAAAGTCGATGGTGTTATTTCAGGACAAGTACAGAAATGTAAGTATCTGGGCACATGGATAACATCAGATGGAAGATGCAAAACTGAGATAAGAAACAGAACAGGACAGGCAAAAACTGCATTTTATAAAATGAAAAAAAAACATCTTGTGCAATATATCCTTGTCATTGAGAGTTAGAAAAAGAATTCTTGCTTGCAACATACATCCAGTTTTAACATATGGCGGTGAATCCTGGACAATCGATAAGCAGGCCAAACAATTTATTGAGGCCTCATAGATGTGGTTTTACAGAAGAATGCTTAGAATACCTTGGACAGCCAAAAAGAGCAGCCAAGAGGTTTTGAAAGAGGCGGGAGCTTGAAGACAACTTATCACAGACATCAGAAGGAGACATCATTTTTTGGCCATGTTATGAGAAGAGGGAAAATAGAACATGTTGTGACTACTGGAAAGATCTGTGGAAGGAGGGATAGAGGAAGACAACAAGAGAAGATTCTTGACAGTCTTGTTGCATGGCATGGAGGTGTGTAGGCACACGAACTGATACGCGCTGCAGGAGATCGTGGATTATGGAGAGGCATGATCGCCCATGCCAGTAGGCAAGGCTCCTGATGATGATGATGATGTTGGTCTAACACATTTTGTGAAAGAATATTTCTAAGATCTTTCTTCAGCATGACACCAAAGGCCTAAGAATTAAGGCATCTGCCCTGTTTCTAGCTGTATTGACAATTACAGACAAAAGTATGGACTAAAAACATGTTTTCACAGACTCTTTTCTCCAAGCATATTCATGCCCTAACAGCCCATGCCGTTTGGCGTTGGTAGTCATGTCTACCCCAAGCACTTTAAATAATTTCTGACAGATGATCTTTCATGACATGTGTCAAACTGTCTAGAACCTTCTCTCTCGTCATCTTTTTCATCATTATGAAATACTCCAGTGAAAGTAGATGAATGAGTTCACGGTGGAGACGCACAGAAAAAGTATAAATTATGTGACAGCGTGATTCTAATGTAAGCCTGAGCCACCCACATGAGTGACTCATGTAGTCTGAGAACGCCCACATGAGCGTGAGTCTCGAGAACACCCACATGAGCATGATTCCCGAGAACGCCCACACGAGCGAGCCTCTCATGTTACATCAGCTGCCCACATGGGTTCGGCAAGGATATATTGGGGCTGCATTGTCAGTCAGAGTCCAAAGCAGAGAGAGAGAGAGAGAGAGAGAGAGAGAGAGAGAGAGAGAGAGAGAGACCAAGTCAGGGTCAGAGTCAGTATCTCTTGAGTGGGACAGAGTATCGTGCACCCGTCAGAGAGCAAGGTCTGAGTGAGAGACTAGGTCACGGTACGGGTTGAAGGTATAGTCCCGCTGGTGAAGTAAGGCCAAGGGGACTGGATGCTCCCATAGTGACTGAACTGTGTGATGGCGCAAGGAGATGTAGGATCACCATGGAAACAGAACAGTAGGGATGCTGACGAGAGAGCATAAGTCCTGTCGGTCATCAGAGTCCTTTGATAGGCTGAGGTGCTGTGAGTACATGCTGGAGAACGAAGTCCGTTCCAGTCAGCCGAAGTGTCTGCTGAAGTAATAACAAGGTCCAGTTGATAGGAGAGTTGTTCCTGTTCTTCTGTACAAGGAGTCCAGAGTTGTGGGACACTGTAGACCTTATGAGCTGTAGTGGTCAGGGAGAGGTCGTTACAAGTTGAGAGAGAGAGTGAGGACTATGAATGCCAATTAGGATCCGTGTCTATGTGTCTGAATTTGCTGTTTTGTCGGTGTAAGGGCCTGTGAATAACCTTGTGTGTTGTTGCAATAAACTTTGTGTATGGTGGAGCTGACAGCTTTGTGTCATAACTCAATGTGTCAAGTGAATATTTGTACCTGTGGACACCTGGTCATGTGCTGATTATTGTGTAACTCAGCACACAACACTCACCTTTACGCCGGGCTCTTCCACAAAAGCAAAGTCGCTCCACTTCCGGTAACCTTGCAATGCTCTTGTCTAAACTCTCACCTGCAACCATCTCATTTGCCTGAATTAAATAGAAAAACATGGTTACAGTGAGCAGAGGCAATGGCTTAGATGTCTGCCTCTTATTTCAAGACACCTGTTGTTTCTCTAATTTCTACAACTACCATTTCTTTAACTAAAGCACAACACCAGCGTGTCTCTAACTGAAGCACACTCGTTGTTTCTCTAGCTGAAGCACACCCGTTGTTTCTCTAACTGAAGCACACCTGCTATTTCTCTAACCGTAGCACACCTGCTGTTTCTCTAACAGAAGCACACCTGCTGTTTCTCTAATTTCTACACCTACCATTTCTTTAACTAAAGCACAACACCTCTGTTTCTCTAACTGAAGCACACCAGCTGTTTCTCTAACCGTAGCACACCCGTTGTTTCTCTAACTGAAGCACACCCGTTGTTTCTCTAACTGAAGCACACCTGCTGTTTCTCTAACAGTAGCACACCTGCTGTTTCTCTAACCGAAGCACACCTGCTGTTTCTCTAACTGAAGCACACCTGCTGTTTCTCTAACTGAAGCACACCTGCTGTTTCTCTAACTGAAGCACACCTGCTGTTTTTCTAAACGAAGCACACCTGCTGTTTCTCTAACTGAAGCACACCCATTATTTCTCTAACTGAAGCACACCCGTTGTTTCTCTAACTGAAGCACACCTGCTGTTTCTCTAACCGAAACACACCTGCTGTTTCTCTAACCGAAGCACACCTGCTGTTTTTCTAAATGAAGCACACCTGCTGTTTCTCTAACTCAAGCAAACCTGCTGTTTCTCTAACTGAAGCACATCTGCTGTTTCTCTAACTCATGCAAACCTGCTGTTTCTCTAACTGAAGCACACTTGCTGTTTCTCTAACTGAAGCACACCACTGTTTCTTTAACTGAAATACACCTGCTGTTTCCCAAACTGAATTACTTCTACTCCATTTCTCCACTTTAAGCACACCTAGTTTGTTACTCTAATTTAAGCACACCTAATTTATTTCATGGCAACTACAGTAGCATGGTGGATTGAACACTTAGCTGCCATCCCAATGGATAAGGTTTGAATTGCTACTTTCCTGTAGCCTGTGTGTTTTACAGATCTGACTTATTTGTATGCAGACTCTCCGTTCTTCACTTCACAGGCAGATGCCCTTTGACGATTAAGAAACCATCCCAATTTTTGTGTGTGTGTGTGTGTGCTTTTTAACATGCTTGTTATGGGAGGCCTTGGGTTTATTCTTCGTCCTCCCAGAACCCAAACAGCAAGTGTGGTTTTATTTGACACAACTGGATCTTCACTGGTACTACTGTTCTCCCTTTCAGCGTCAAGTTTTGAATAATGACCAACCGCTCCTTGACATGCGCGTTGAAAAAAAGAAGCTTTTAATTAAAGACTTGCTGAAACTGGATGTGTTGAGCTGAAAGATGCAGATTTGCAACCCAGCTGTAAACCACAACACAGCATGCCAACTGCCGTTTAAAACAAGAAACAAAGAAGAAAAAACTGTCCTGCTGAGATATTCCAAACAATTCATTTACATTTTCTGTATGGTTTTCAGGAGAGATCCAGTAAACGTACTCATTAGACAAATCAGTTTGTTTCTTCTCAACATTCATCTATAAAAAAAAACAATAATTTAACTGATTATTTCCCATCATGCGCTGGACAATGTGAGATCTAAATCATTTTACTTTTAAATCTTTTTCTCTGGATTTGGTTTTGTATGCTCAAATCAGATCGTGAGGTGGGCTGTCTCCATGAGTTTGCATGTCAGTTGTAGGTCCTCTGTGGTTTCACGTAGTTTGCTCAGCACACTTTGCTCTTGAGGCAAGGTTGATCTTCATAATTGAAAGTATAGTGGGCAGGCCTGCAGAATATGCTATGGTGTTTGTGGTCCCATCTGACGTGTACACTCGGGGGATCGCAGTCTTTATTTTATACACTTCTAAATGAAGCAGAAAGACGCAAAGCAGTGTTGTCAGCACACCTGCTTGCTGGCCAAGGGTTCATCAAAGCAGATATTTAAAAATGACAGCGGGTTGACCAAGCCTAAAACTGGTATTAAGAAATGTACTGGAAAGTGAAGCTGGCCAACATGATACTGACCACATTATGCTAAGCTAGTCCAGGTCAGCCCAGCCTCAAATGAGTACCGTGTAAAGTCCCAGGAAATAAAGGTGGTTGGCATAATGTTGACTACATCAGCCAATGAGTGTCGACTGGTCTATACAATATAGGTGAGCACTCTATGCCTAATGACATGACAAAGGACCCTTTACTAGTGTACTTTACCATCCTATGCTCAAATACGACAGTTAGATTTAAGATCCATGTGTGGGGGTCCAGGACCCCATTTGCAGGAGGGGGTATGGGGGCCTCACTGCCTCCTAAAGCTGCTGGCACTCTTCCATCTTTCTAGATGATAGTTTAATAATTTGCTGTGAGGAGGCGTGGGACTGAAGTTCATCCTCTCCATAGCACAAAGCTTAGGCAGCATTACACGGACCATATGTTGCCCATGCATTATGATCTCCCCCCCCCCCTGCCTGCCTTGTTTACTCCATAGGAAAAGTAACACCAATATGTTTGAAACAAAGCATGCTGCAGAAGCTGCCAAGTCAGGACAGCAGTGCTCTGTCTGCATGTTGGAGCTTCCTGCTAGTGTGTGGTCTGCCAAGCTATAACATGGCTTTCTGGTTGCATTTCTTCTTCCTAAGATAAGGCAAGTATTCTTCTCTAAAATAAGGCAAGTATCCTTCCCTAAGATAAGGCAATTATCCCTCCCTAAGATAAGGCAAGTATCCCTCCCTAAGATAAGGCAATTATCCCTCCCTAAGATAAGGCAATTATCCTTCCCTAAGATAAGGCAATTATCCCTCCCTAAGATAAGGCAATTATCCTTCCCTAAGATAAGGCAATTATCCCTCCCTAAGATAAGGCAATTATCCCTCCCTAAGATAAGGCAATTATCCCTCCCTAAGATAAGGCAAGTATCCCTCCCTAAGATAAGGCAATTATCCCTCCCTAAGATAAGGCAATTATCCCTCCCTAAGATAAGGCAATTATCCTTCCCTAAGATAAGGCAATTATCCTTCCCTAAGATAAGGCAATTATCCTTCCCTAAGATAAGGCAATTATCCTTCCCTAAGATAAGGCAATTATCCTTCCCTAAGATAAGGCAATTATCCTTCCCTAAGATAAGGCAATTATCCTTCCCTAAGATAAGGCAATTATCCTTCCCTAAGATAAGGCAATTATCCCTCCCTAAGATAAGGCAATTATCCTTCCCTAAGATAAGGCAATTATCCTTCCCTAAGATAAGGCAATTATCCTTCCCTAAGATAAGGCAATTATCCTTCCCTAAGATAAGGCAAGTATCCCTCCCTAAGATAAGGCAATTATCCCTCCCTAAGATAAGGCAAGTATCCCTCCCTAAGATAAGGCAATTATCCCTCCCTAAGATAAGGCAATTATCCTTCCCTAAGATAAGGCAATTATCCCTCCCTAAGATAAGGCAATTATCCTTCCCTAAGATAAGGCAATTATCCCTCCCTAAGATAAGGCAATTATCCCTCCCTAAGATAAGGCAATTATCCCTCCCTAAGATAAGGCAAGTATCCCTCCCTAAGATAAGGCAAGTATCCCTCCCTAAGATAAGGCAATTATCCCTCCCTAAGATAAGGCAATTATCCTTCCCTAAGATAATGCAAGTATCCCTCCCTAAGATAAGGCAAGTATCCCTCCCTAAGATAAGGCAATTATCCCTCCCTAAGATAAGGCAAGTATCCTTCCCTAAGATAAGGCAATTATCCCTCCCTAAGATAAGGCAAGTATCTTTCCCTAAAATAATGCAAGTATACTTCCCTAAGATAAAGCAAGTATCCTTCTCTAAGATAAGGCAAGTATCCTTCCCTAAGATAATGCAAGTATCCCTCCCTAAGATAAGGCAGGTATCCCTCCCTAAGATAAGGCAAATATCCCTCCCTAAGATAAGGCAAGTATCCTTCCCTAAGATAAGGCAAGTATCCTTCCCTAAGCCTTCCTCTGCCTGGTGCACCCTAACAAGCAGGTTGTTAAAAAGTAACTAATTAAAGGTGTTTTTCTTTCAAAACTGGAGTGCATCAGCCTGAAAGGCAAGAAACCAACAGTCTGCCTACAAATAAGCCAGATTTGTGAAAGGGATGTACAGGTGAAACTCAAGATCAGGAACACTAGTGAAGTCGAGAAGCGGATGAACAACCTTGAGTTTACAGCCTGTGAAGGCTAAGAAAAAGATATAAAAAAAAATTCACCAACCTCTGGCTCCTGTTTGATATCCATTGCTACGGAATAGGCACATTTAGAAATGTGACAGCCTGGTTTAATCAAACTGAATGACCACGGTGTTCTGAAACAATAAATAAGAAACAATTTTACAGACTAGGAGTGAAGAAGCAAAAGAAATGTCTGGGCAACCATTAGTATCAAAACTTATAAGTCAGAAAAGATGGCGCTATACTGGACACATTCTGAGAAGAAATGAGTAAACAATCACTAAACAGGCACTCAAATGGGCAAAAAATGGTTTAAGGAGGTAATGAAAAAAGAAAAGTTGAAACAAATATTGATGAGAGATGCCAAAAGTGCTAGACCGGATTCCATCAATGCTTTTAACGACCCCAGAACATCTTGAACTGGCCCTAACCCCAACCTATATACGTCCCACGAGAGAGTGCAGCCTAGGTCCCATGACTGCATGCAGCCCATCTACCACCCCTTGAAATATTAGACTGTCCTGTGACCTGTGAATTTTCCCTGTTTGGGGTAGGATATTAATAAAGCACCTGAACTTGTTGCACATGATAGAACGGAATGGAGGAATAGACTTAAATAATGGCACAATAGGACAAGTCACAATGAATGAATGCTACAGTAGACTGGTGGACCTAAAGTTAATGATCTCAAGTTCTGAAACAAAACAAACAATAGGTAGCAATGTTTATGGCTTGGCCTTGGCTCAGTCAAAGCTGGTGACCTCAGCATTCTGAAACAATACAAGAACTAGCAATAGGGTAACAATATTTGTCTCATTCCATCGAACACTGACCTCCTAATTATGAAACTGAAACAATACTTAGCAGCAACATACAGCCTGGTTCAATCAATGCTGACTTCAATGTGTGATCATACATGCAGTGTGTTGATTAGACCATTTGTCTAATGTGTGTTAATATGACCATCCATATGTGTATATGTGTATTAATTTGACCATCCATATGTGTAGTGTGACTGTGTGATGTTTATTATAATCTGATGTCTATGTGTTGTTGAAAAAATCCACATGATGTCACTGTTACACTACCACACTTGATAGTTTAAAGCAAAATATATCATGCTATTTTAGTATTTATTTGAAGAAAAAAAAAAGCCTTTATATGTAATCACCGCCCCCGTCCCCCTTTTCCCCCGTGGACTGACAACATTAGCTATTTATCTTAATTAGCCCCTAAGGGCCTTAAACTTTAGAGTTAGGGACAGGGTTCAGTGTCACATCCTCAGGTCAGGTTTCGCTACTTTCTCATGAGTTGAGGCATGAGAAACTGCGATGTTGTGCAAAATAAATATCGCCATTTTCCTCTCACCATCCATCAACATTAGATTCATAAGAGGAACTTAATTACACTGCACATTCAAAGCACAGTCACAGTGCACACCATGACAACTTTAACCATTCAGAATCAAAGAAGTACGTTCGGTCGCCATATTTTATCGCCTCCCTAAAACTAAAACACCGAGAAGTTTTAGTTTAAACTTACACACATTTTTTAAGTTTATTTTTATACTTAAAGTCGTTCAACTCACATCTTTTGCTGTTCCCCCCTGTGATGTAATCGACCGCGTACATATCCATCCTCGACTCAACACGTACCAATCCGTGTTTACTGTGTTAGTAGTGTTAGTGTTTCTCCTTAACACGACAGTCGCTGTTGGAACTTCAACTTTGTTGAACTTTTCCCCCAGTCCCTCCCAGTACAGTCAAATATATCCATTAGTTGACATCTTTCTCGAACTTGTTCCTTTAGTTTAAGAACACGTCTACAACCCTACACACAACATTCCTGCTTTTGAAGCGAGGAAAGTTAAGATAGACTTGTGAAAAGATGCCAGTTCAAAGCCACTGTACACCTCAGATCGTAAACGCCGGCGACCTGCCGTCACCATGTTGGAATTTGTCCAGTGTTGCCAGGTACTTGCTGATTGTCCCTTGTCCTTCTCCCCCGTGTTTGTCGCTCTTTTTCTTGTATATTCTTTAATGTTTCGTCTTCTAAACACTCCTCAACTGTTCTTGATGCTGACAACATATTTCCATAATTTTAAAACTTGTTATTCATTCATCATTAGTTATTCCGAAAGTCGCCCATAAGTGTACCAAAGTATGCCATGAAAGGTAAGCAGGAAATGTCCACAGAATCTTCAACATATGAACCTGAACATATGAACCGCTCTATCCTGTCTGAACTTCGGGTTGCCTTGCCATCGTCGAGGGTTCCCAATAAAATCTTACGGTTGAGCAGGTTTTCTTGGATTCTCATCCAACTAATGATACTTTACACTTTGTGTTAACGGGTGTTAATAGCCCAGTGAGTGATCCTATGGGGGTTCTCTTTCACCCACTCATGCAATCTTTAAAGCTTTTTATCTGAAGACAAAAAAATATGTAGCTGATCAGGGTTGTATTTTTAATGTATGACAGCCATGTGCAGTCATTTATTATACGCCTCTCTTCCCTCGGGTAAACTTCAGCTTCGCTATTCGTTTACAGACTAACAACAACACATTTTGAAATTATTCGCTTCTTTTTCAAACTTAACTGAAAACAAGAATAAACCAAATATGCAACACAAGAACAAATAAACAATTAATTATTATTTTGACAGCGAAAACATTTGGTAAACAGTTACTATACAAATAGTCAGAGACAGTAATCACTACAGTTTAACAGCCATATAAGAACAGTTATTAGAACAACACATCGAGAAGCAACAATCTCTCATCCTGAATTGTTATTGATTTCAAGAAGGCGCTTGACAGCTTACATAGGATTTCACTATCAGTAATTTTGGAATGCTACGACATACTAGCCAAAATAATACACATTATAAGAAATGTATACGATGAATCAGAGTATACAGTGCACACTGAAAATGGTCTTAATCAGTGTTTCCCAAACTTTTGTTAGTCGCAGGCGCCTTTTTTTAATTAAAAGTTTTCCACGGCTCCCTAACCTAAGTAAAAGTATGACTATTAGTATGTATGAAAAAAAAAAAAAAAAAACCTCGTGTATCTTCGAATATTTCGCGGCGCCCCTGTGAAGAAGTCGCGGCTCCATGGGCGCCACGGCGCACAGTTTTGGAATCACTGGTCTAAATGACTTGTTAGTAGTATCCATTGATTTGTAATGTAAAAATATTGAGGCAATACTGGCATTGATTGGGTACAGAATAGACATTTGGAAAATCTCGATTTTGCAGATGATATTGTTCTGTTTAAAAAAAAAAAAAAAAATAACAAAGACATGCAAAGAACAACAGACGATTTGTCGTCTACAGCATAAAAACAGGTCTACAAAAAAGTTATGAGAAAAAATATATAAAAAAACTATACCAACAACAGATCATCATGTAGATGTCATGTTAGAGAACAAACCCAATGAAACAAACAGACCATTTCACCTATTGGAGTAACAGTTTTGACTCTCAAAGAGATACAATGAAAGACATTATGATATGCAGTAGCAAAGCAACAATAGTCTTTGAAAGCCTTAACAAATTATGGAGCTCCAGATTATACATCTTTAAGACCAAACAAGGTATCCTCAATTCTAATGTTATTTCAATTCCAGCGAAAGTTGGAGAACTACCAAAGATATGGAACAACAGTTAAATGCATTTAAAAATAAATGTCTGAAAAAAAAAAATAAAAAAATAAAAACACGAACAGAAATTGTGACGAATTAAAAAAGATTGAGGAGAGAAATGCCTGGACAAATTACTTGTATTGACTGCATAAAGACTAAGAAGGTGGAGATATATTGGGCACACTCTGAGACGAAATGAGCAAAGAATTACAACGGAGGCGCTGAAATGAAAACAGACGGTCTGAGAAAAAGAGGACGTCCAAAGGAAACATTAGGAAGAACATTAATACGAGAGGCAAAACATGCTGAGCTGAACTCCATGTCAGAAATCGAGAGAGTTGCAGGCAATAGACAGGAGTGGAGGAGTCCAGAGTCCTATGTGACGTCTAACGGCATACACAATTTTATGTATGTATGTATATATATGTATATGTATACTATATATATATATATATATATATATAATATATAATATATATATATATATATATATATATATATATATATATATATATATATATATATATATATCATCAGGTGCCTTGCCGACTGGCGTGGGCGATCATGCCTCTCCATAATCTGCGATCTCCTGCAGCATGTATCAGTTCGTGTGCCGACATACCTCCATGCCATGCAACAAGACTGTCAAGCATCTTCTCCCGTTGTCTTCCTCTATCTCTCCTTCCACATATCTTTCCAGTGGTCACAACATGTTCTATTTTCCCTCTTCTCATAACATGGCCGAAAAATGATGACTGTCTCCTTCTGATGTCTGTGATAAGTTGTCTTCGGGCTCCCGCCTCTTTCAAAACCTCTTGGTTGCTCTTTTTGGCTGTTCAAGGTATTCTAAGCATTCTTCTGTAAAACCACATCTCCGAGGCCTCCAGAAATTGTTTGGCCTGCCTACCGATTGTCCAGGATTCACAGCCATATGTTAAAACTGGATGTATGTAGCAAGCATGAATTCTTTTTCTAACTCTCAATGACAAAGATATATTGCACAAGATGTTTTTCATTTTATAAAATGCAATTTTTGCCTGTCCCATTCTATTTCTTATCTCATATATATATATATTAGGGATGTACCGAATTTTGATTTTCACTATTCGGCCGAATACGAATAGCCGGACCAGAGGTTATTCGGCTGAATACAAATACGAATACGAATAGTGTATAGTGTATAAAATATATCTAAAAAACACACATTTATAATGTCAAATGTACGCTGAACTTTTTCTTCACATAAAGTAGCACAGAATAGTCATCTTCTTCTTTAGCATTCTGAGCCCTTGAGGTTTACTGCTGCAGATATCACTCGTCTCCATTCATCTCTCTGGCTGGCCTTATCTTCACAATTTGTGACACCAGTTGTTTGCAGGTCTGGCTGGAAATTATCTCTCGAACTTATTTTTGGTCTGCCTCGTGATCTACGCCTATTCCTCTCTCAGGTGTATACAGTTTTTACTTCTCTGTCATCTGACATTCTTTCA